GACTGAGAGAGAGAGTTGAAAAAGACAAAAGATAGAGTTGAAAAAGACATGAGAGCCAGTTTGGTGTCGTGGTTAAGTGCGCGGACTCTAATCTGGGAGAACCGGGTTTGATTCCCCACGCCTCCACTCGCAGCTGCTGGTGTGACCCTGGGTCAGTCACAAGCTCTGGCACAGGTGTTCCTGAAAGAGCAGTTTGTGTCAGAGTTCTCTCAGCCCCACCCACCTCACAGGCACTGTTCCCTCTAAGCCGAGCTAGTGCGAGCTAGCTCACAGTTTTTTTAGCTTCCGGCTCACACATTTTTGTCTTCGCTCAGGAAGGGATGGCTCCAGAGCAAACTAATTTATGCAGCAGCCAAATCACTCGCTCACAACTTTAATGCCAGGAGCTCACAAAGTAGAATTTTTGCTCACAAGACTCCACAGCTTAGAGGGAACATTGCACAGGGTGTTTTTGTGGGGAGGGGAAGGGAAAGGAGTTTGTAAGCCGCTCTGAGACTCCAAGTGAAGGGCGGGGTATAAATCCAATCTCTTCTCTTCTTCCTTGTGAAGACCTTGGGTTCTGTTATTAGAGAGTCAACATGGACTGTTTCCTTCAAGAGTTGATAAGTAGTCATTGATAAGAATTGGGATTGCTACACGCTCAGATAAAGCAAATATTGTGAAACGGATTGTTCATTGCGCAGTATTCGTTAGCGTGTGAGCGATAATAGAATATTTTTTTCTACAGACAGTACTACAGTAAATGTTTTCGCAATTTATCTTTATTGACTCTTCGTTATTTTTGTCACAGATGTTGTTTTTGGAATTCCACTTCCTCCCATGATCTCTCATTCTTGGCTTCCACCACCTGGAGGTTGGAAGATAAGAGCACTTTAAAAAAAAAGGCTAAATGGCAGGGGGTTTGTTCTTTCCCTCTGTAGGTATGGATCGATGCAGCCACACAGATATTCTACTCCTTAGGAGCTGGCTTTGGTGTCTTAATCGCATTTGCTAGCTACAATCAATTTGACAACAATTGTTACAGGTAAGCCATGCATGGGTAAGCCACTGTTTGTTGTGCATATTTATTTATTAATTCATTTGTAAAGCTGGCTAAAATGAATCGGCATTCTGTAGAGGAAGAACGCCAGTGCTCACAGAGCTGCACAGCTAAGAAAAAGGAATAGGGAACTGAGTCAATGAACTATGATTGACAATAGATTCAGGTGGGCAGGGGTCATTTCATAGAAAAAGAGGTGCCGGGAGTGTGTCAGAAGGCAACACTCACCGCTCAGGCTCCACTGGACTGTTTTGGATTGCTAGCTATTGGGGGGGGGATGTGCAGATCTGTCCTCGCAGAGGAGGGAGAGCTTGTACCTGAATAAAACTTGGCTTTAAAGGTGCCACTGGACTGTTTTGGGCCGGGGGGGGGGCTCTACAGCTTACCTTGCTGCTTCTTGCTCTGACTGAGGGCTGCTGGGAGCAGGGGGTGGGGCTTGTTGTGTGTGCCCGCCCCCTGGGTTCTTTACTGCCGGAGCTCCGCTCCTGTGCGCTCCTGCAGGAAATGACCCCTGCAGGTGGGTAAGCCATGTCGGTCTGAAGCAAGAGAACAAAGTTTGAGCCCAGTGCCACCTTTAAGACCAACAAAGTTTAATTCTGGATATAAGCTTTCGGGTGCATGCACATTTCTTCAGATATCTGAAGAAGAGTGGATGCACACGAAGACTTATACCCAGAATTATGCTTGTCGTTGTTGACCCTCCTTGCAGGGTGATTGTAAGAAGTGTAACATCATTGTAGACGTGAAGGTCTTTAAATGCTTTCAAATGTTCTGTAAATGCCAAGTATTATAACTGTGGTTTTCACCCTCTGCTCCTCAAATAGTGTGATGCTGCTTTTGATTAAAACAGAAGCGTATAGGGTTGTCTCACATCCAGTCATGTCATTGGTCCATCTAGTTCCGTACTAGCTCTTTACTCTGGCAACAGCTCTCCGTGGTCTCGTGCAAAGAAGAGTCTTTCCCAAACTGAAATTCTTTAACTGGAGATACTGCTGCTGCTCCTACAGGTTCTGATCCAAACAACAATTCCACGCATCATTGTCTTGCGCAGGAAAATTAGACTGTTAATACTTCCCATGCGCCTTTCACAAGCATATAAGAAGAGCCCTGCTGGATCAGACCAATGGCCCATATAGTCCAGTATCCTGCCTCACACAGTCGCCAACCAGTTCCTCTCGAAGTCTAACAATGACATAGAGGCCAAGGCCTTCCCAGTCAGTTTGCTGTAGCGAAAAAAAAACAGTGCGCGGACTCTAATCTGGGAGAACCGGGTTTGATTCCCCGCTCCTCCACTTGCACCTGCTGGATGACCTTGGGCAAGCCGTAGCTCTGATAAGAGCTGTTCTTGAAAAAGAACAAGAAAAAGAAAAAGAGCTCTCTCAGCCCCACCTACCTCACAGGATGTCTGTTGTGGGGAGGGGAAGGGAAAGGAGTTTGTAAGCCGCTCTGAGACACCTTTGGGTAGTGAAGGGCGGGGTATAAATCCAATCTCTTCTTCTTCTCTTCTGTAGTTACGGGCCTGCATGCATCCTACCCAACTACAGACCAGCATCTCCTGGGGCAGAGTCAAACTTTGGGACTTGTAGGAAAACACAAGCATGTCCACCACCTTGAGACTCCTTTGGGTAATGAAGGGCAGGGTATAAATCCAATCTCTTCTTCTTCCTCCTCTTCTTCTTCTTCTTCTTCTTCTTCCCCTGATGTTGCCTTCTGGCACTGGGATCCAGAGGTCTACTAACTCTGAACATGGAGGTTCCCTTTAGTCATCATAGCTAGTAGCCACAGATAGTCCTATCTTCCATGAATCTGTCTAAAATGCTGGAGGTGAACACCTGAGGTGGCCTTATACCGAACCAGGCCATCAGTCCACCAAGGTTAGGACTGTCTACTCAGACTGGCAGTGGCTCTCCAGGTTCTCGAGCTGAGGTCTTTCACATCAGCTACTGTCTGTTATTTTTTCTTCCCCAAACTGGAGATGCCGAGGATTGAACCTGGGACCTCCTGCATGCCAAGCAGAGGCTCTTCTGCTGAGCCACAGCCCCTCCCCTGTCAACGTGACGATGGCTAGTGTGCCCATCCTAGCAGTAGACCCACCTACTGACTCAACTGAAGAACAGAAAAGAAGAGCAACCAGTGTATTAATTAAATTAAATTAATTAAGTGTTTAAGCCTATCCATGGCTACTAGCCCTGGTGACTGAGGGAAATCTCCACATTCAGAGGCCCTACTCTGAATCTGAGAGCCAGGAGGCAGCATCGGGGGAAGGCCTCATCCTCTATGCCCTGTTGATGGCCGTCCAGAGGACCTGTTTGGCCACTGTGTGAGACAGAATGCTGGACTAGATGGTCCATTGGTCTGATCCAGCAGGGCTCTTCTTATGTTCTTAAACCACTACACCAAACTACAGTGGTTAAGTGTGTGGACTCTAATTTGGGAGAACCGGGTTTGATTCCCCACACCTCCACTTGCAGCTGCTGGATGACCTTGAGGAAGCCGGCCAGGGCTCTTTTTGTAGCAAGAACTCCTTTGCATATTAGGTGACACACCCCTAATGTAGCCAATCCTCCAAGAGCCTACAGAGCTCTTTTTACAGGGGCTACTGTAAGCTCTTGGAGGATTGGCTACATCAGGGGTGTGTCACCTAATATGCAAAGGAGTTCCTGCTACAAAAATAGCCCAACTTCTGACAAGAGCTGTCCTTGAAAGGGCAGTTCTTGAAAGAGCTCTCTCAGCCCCGCCTACCTCACAGGATGTCTGTTGTGGGGAGGGGAAGGGAAAGGAGTTTGTAAG